CGCCCCTTCACACAGCTTTTTTACACGAGGCATCAGAAATAGTTTGGCTCAGTCAGCGCAGTCTATATCCCCTTCGTCACTGGAAACACTCTCTGACTCTGATCCATCAGGGTCCAAGCCCAAATCACAAGTCTTCACACGGTTGGGGATGACAAGTGTTCCTGGATGGGTTGGTAGGCCAGAGGAATCCCACCTATAGTTCAAAATTCCATACTGAGCAGGCCTCGGAATCTCAGGAAGCTGGCCCTGGCTCCAGCCCATCAAATATTCAAGTGCGTCATTTGAAATGTCTCCGTTTCTGAAACAAACTGGAGCTTGCCTCCAGATTCGTTTTTTAACTTTTGGTGAAATGACCCTCTTCGCAGCAACGCCCGCTGGGGCATGTGCCCGCTGCCGAATTTCAGCAGCTCTCACTTCCGGAACCAAACTGGCAACGGTGACAACTGACTTGTCTCCAAGCCAGCGCTTGGTGTACACTAAGACATCGCCTGCTGAACGGGGAAATCGATTTGGGAAAGCCAAGATTCTCTCAGCGCCGTTCAGCGTGTCAGGTGCCAAATCTGCGCGGGTCAGAAAGCGAAAGTAGTGCACACGTCCTAGGCAAACTACGGTTGACGTGGGAACAATTGATAAAACCCCATGTGAAAGGTTAAGGGTATATAATTCACCTGCTGAATTTATGGACCAAAAACAAACCAGCCACAAGCGAAAACAAGGACTTGTGACTAGTCGTCTGTCAAGAATCTTAACCCTTTGAGTTTTACCCCAAGTTGGGATGTCCAGTCTTTCCAACAAGCTGTTTGGTCCAAAGCCTGAGCGAACACATTGTTGTTCCGAATTCGGTTTCGATGTCGGACGCCACTTCCACCATTGATCAGATCAAGCAAAGCCCCAGGATTGTCAAAGCCACCCCTTGCTATCAGGGAACTAATCTGACCAAAGGCTTGGTCTATATCTTCATGACCTCGAGCTGGAACAATTCCCCTCCAAAAAATCGTTTGGTGGGGTTTCCCTTCAAAGTTCTCATGACAAACAAGAACAATCAGGACTCAAATATATCAGATTCGCTGTGACCGGTCCTGAGGAATCCCAAGCAAGTTGCTCGGAATACCCCCAGGACCACCAGCAATATCATTGCTGCGCAAACGTACTGGTTTTTCCCCTCTCGGTAGCAATTGTCTTGCTGCAGGTGTAAGATCAATGGCAGCTTTGCATGCGTCTCCAAAAGGCTTGACAGGTTGAGGAAAAGAAGTTCGGCTTGAGTCACTGAATCTTTTTTGACATCTTCGTTTGCCACATGAAAGCTGAAACTGTGACCATGGATCAGCACTCCACTGCAGTGAAGGGTGGGCCTGTAAAGGACTTCCACATTTTTTGATGGTCTTGTTGTCAAGCGTGGACATCTGAACTTCGACTGGTCCATTCCGTCTATAATACAGCATAGTACCGACGATGCGGTTGCTGTAGCAAGCCTGATTTGTCATAACGCTGGAACAATATCTAATATATATGATATATGCCCAAATCCAATTACACACATCAGGGGGAAAAACAACTACAGTCATGGTTGTTGATCAAAACTGCCGAGGGACAAGGTCTCTGAAAAGCCAGCATTTCCTTATATACCCAAAACAGATTTGATAAACCCTGAACAAACCCTTGGGGGTGATCTTTTTTATATAAGACACTAGTCATGTATGTTACATGATATATTTGCCAAATAAAGGGAAATCCGCAAATCTTCATCTGAATGGAAGATGAGGGTCTAAACCACGCCTGAGAAAGCGTTCTTTGGTGCCAGTAGGTCTGTCTATCGACCCATTGGGAAAGAATATGGGCACTGTAAGTCTTGTATGCCCTTTGTCGATCTTCTTGTGTTCGTGCCCTGCTCATGTTCTTTTTCATCTTGCTGCACACATTGCACTCAGCATGTTCGCCCTTGTTCCGGAATTTCAGGTGGTCTTTGTAAGTAGCACGGAAGACAGTCATGAATGTGGACAAACAGCTAGGTGCTTCTCCGTTTGAAGTTGCATGCGCGACATACTCATTGTACACATCAATAGGTTTTCTGTGCTGTAAGTATCTGCGTGGCCCAGAAAAAGTTCCTGGACCCATGGAATCGAAATCGGGCATTTTGCGATAGGTTTCCAAACTCTGCAAGAAGGACTGCACGTAGCGAATCTGAAAATCCTCATCTTCATCATCTGACTGATTTTGAAAGCCTTCTTTCAGATAGCCACTTGGCATTTTGAACTTGGCAGGTAACACTTCAGCTTGTGAATGGTAAAGAAGCCAAAGAAAGGCCAAAACCTTTTGCCACTTGCTACGGTCAGTCATTCGCAGAGCACGACCTACCCCTGGGTGTTTTGGGAGTGGCTCTCGTTTCTGGAAAGCAGGCCTGCCCTGACGTACTCTTTCAATTGCACCAGCACCAATTTGCATCAACTGTTGGTGAGCTCTTTGGCAAACACATTTCCCTAAGAACTGAAGCTTCAGTTTGGAACGTCTTCCCTTGCGCTTGGTGTGGCCGGATGTCTCAGGGGCAGAGTCAGGGCCTGAATCAGATTGCACAAAAACCTCAGTAGTATTGTTCTCTTCAGTGGATGTCTCCTCAAAGCAGTCTGGCACTGGCTCAGAGTCACTCTCTGCAAAAATTTCACACCCGGCGGCACCATCATGAGGATCATCAGCTTTCATTCTTTTGTTGGGGAGGTTGTAGGTTTTGACCATCCAAGCCTCCTACAAAGGGGTCCAGGATAACCACACTTGCCACCCTTAACCCTCAAGAATTGTTTGTTATAAGTTATAGGCGATTATAGTGATTTAACATCTAATTTGAAATAATGATGCATGTACAAATAGTCTTACTTGGTTTCTCCTTGTCGCCATTCTCCAACATTTGGAATTCATCCCTGCAAGCTTGAATAGCATTCTCCATGCCGTCCAGCTGTGTGAAGCAGTCACCCTTCACACATCGACACCGGCGCTTCAGCAGTGAAGAGATCTCAGACAATTTGGAACCTGAAGTCTTGGAAGATGTTTGCTTCGCTCGACTGCTCCGGAGTTTGCTCCGGAGTTTGTGTTCTGCACCTTCTGAGTCGTCGTCCGACTCAGGGAAAATCATAGCGTGGCTTCAGCACATGGCTTGCAACATGCCGCCGAAAAATGCAAGCGACAGAACTTATGGATTATGTGAACTGATTCATTTGTTTATTTCGTTCATTGTGTAATAATGTTTTGTTCAATGATGTAATTACATAACATGTAGTGTCTACAGCATGCAACAAATAATCCCACTCACAACAGCTGAGATCTTGTTTCCAAATGAGTTTGAATTGGGCCGAACACTGCAATGAATCGTCATAGGTGACCAGTGCCCCTGTTCCCCATCAGTGCCAACCCACCAGCAGTCCTGGGTCCAGCGGCGCAGGCTGGACGCTTCAATGCAGCTGCAGGGCGACCACTGGCTGGCCGCTTCATAGGTTTTCTACCCTATCCACTTTCCAACCTTTAGCCCAAATGCTATGGCCATAAATTGGCATCAACTCCAAACTCCCTGGTTGAGCAAACCTCCACGGTTGAGTGAAGTTCTTTATATATATATAACAATTATTATTATTGTTGTTATTATTATTGTTGTTGTCATTTAGGGGTATATAATTCTTTAGTAATGGATTGACGTAGATTTTCAATCCCTATGAAAATGGATGGATTACCATCTCCCATTATGATCTCTGCAGTGTCCAGTACCACTTTGCTAATAATATAGTGATCATTGCCACTTATAAGGAAAATTACCATTTATATATGGAGGTTTCCTAAAAGGGAGGTACCCCCAAATCATCCATTTAAATAGGATTTTCCATTATAAACCATCTATTTGGGGGGTACCCAAATCCCAGGAAACCCCATATGGATTGTAGGGTGAATGGAATGAGTACAGTACCCTCCAGTAATCAAACATGGCTAGCTGGAAAACCCCTGAACTAAATGGTGCTTTTCGTGGAAAAATCATCACTGAATGTGTGGACCAGGAAATTGTCCTAGTCCCAGCTATCAGGATAGATAGGATTGGCGATCACATTGGGCGACCACTACTGAAGGTGTATAAAATAAATAACCTGGAGTGGTCGTGCAACTGATATGTTTGTAATCACCTTCAGTAGTAATGTGGTAATCATACATTGGCCAGTAAAACATTGCAAAAAATGTATGTAATGAGCAACTACTGGACCTGGTATGACATATAATCGAAGAGATCGTGCATGACATCAAACCTATTGCCATGTTCTTATCGATGTCTATAATGTATCTATGTATCTATCTATTAATGTATCTTGCATTTATCTACCTATCTATCTATGTCTCTATCTATCAATCTATCTATCAATCTATCTCAATCTATCAATCTATCTATCTATCTGTCTGCCTGCCTGCCTGTCTATCTATCTATCTATCTGCCTGCCTGCCTGTCTATCTATCTATCTATCAATCTATCTAATATGATCTAATCTAGTCCAGTCCAATCTAATTTAAGTAATCTATACATATATATATATAAAAAGCTGTATGCAATAGACATAGCCTCCATTGGTGGGCAATGAAGAATGAGAACAGAAACTCCAATCAACAAGAGATGATAAATCTTGTGACTTTACCATGGCCCTTTTACATCGGTAACAGTAGCACAATTTGGGGCACTATCATCCATCCCATGCAATGGTAATCCAAACATCAGACGGCACTACAACAGTGCCAGATTATCCCCATGATATCCCCATTCTACCACCATTTTTCTTGGACAATTCTGTGCATTTACGTTGGTAAATATCCCATTAATCTCCTATTTATAGATGATGTTCCCGTTTAAATACCAATTCTACCATTATTTTTGTTGGTACACCAGCATTTATAGATGATGTTCCATTTATTCATAGCAATTCTAGCTCTTTTCCTGTGGATTTTCAACTGCCCCAGTCTGCCAGTGCAGCTGGCGTGACATCGGTGGAGAGAAGCTCCCAGCCATCCGGAAGTGCCACCACGGCATTCTTCAGGTGCTCCCGCTCCTGTCGCCATGCGGACAAAGGATCATCTAGGTCGAATCTAGGTGCATTGGGTGCTTGGCATTGCCAGAAAGATCGTTTTTTTACCCTCTGGTCATTTGTGACAGTTCGCTATTGAAAATGGCCATAGAAATAGTTGAAAAAACCTATGTAAAAATGCTGATTTTCCATCGTTTTTTGTATGTTTACCAGAGGGTACACCATGTACAGCAAATCCGAAGGTCCCCAGCTGACTGGTCCTGCTCCTCTGGACATTTCGGCGGCCTTGGGTCGTCAACCCTCGAAACCATGTGGAGGTTTCAACTCGGACATACAATTTCTTAGTCATTGTTGGATAGGGAAACCAAGTAGCCCCATTTCGAGAAACATGCACAACCATAAACAAGCAGACATGGCGACAAACACATCAGTTTCAGTATACCTTTTGGATCTATCATATTGGTGAGCCAACCACAGAACAGGCATTTTTTCAGCCAAGAGGAAGATCTTGGAGCCCCTTTCAGGGTGTTTTTTGGGACCCCTGAAACTCAAGTTGTTTGCTGCCAAAAGCTTACCCTCTGGTAGTTTCTGCCATTTTGCTCTGGAAAAGCATGGAAAATCACTCGGGCCATCCATAGCATCCACCATCTTCAAACCAGCCACAAGGTGGCATACTCACGCCCCGCGATACTCACCTGGACGATCGGAGGCAGTTTTAACCGCGATCGAACAGTTGGTTGAAAAAACACCAGTAATGGCAGTGATAAGCACCATAAACCCTACAGTTATACTAGGCAAATAGACCTTAATGAACCAACTTAGCTATCTGTAGGGGGACCCAAGTCCTCAAGTCAGTTTTTAGATCTCTAAAAAATCAGATGAAATCACTGTCAGATTTTAGCCACACATGGGACGCTTGGATGAATCAACACCTGTGAATTTCATTGAATTTCTGGGTTTACCCCAGTTGGATCCACTTGGGACTTACCAACTATGCTGCCGTGTTTACCTTCAAATACTCACGGCAAAAAAAACCTTCGGAATACCTTCGGATCTTCATCATCTTCATCCGGACCCAGCCACGATTTCCCAGGGTTTCGGAGCACGTTTGCAGTAGGAGCCCATGATACCTCGGCCACAACTGGGGAAAGTTACGGCTGCTGGATGAGTCCTCTCCAGTTTTCGTCCAAAACCAAGGTGACACAAAATCCTATTGATATTGGTTGATCATCATTTTCCCAACATGTCGATTTGGAGATTTCGGGTATCTCCCGTTTCAGACAAACCATGGATAAACCATACCGTAATAGGACCTATGCACTTTCTGACTGCCAATGTCAGGCCCCACAGATTAATCACTTCGTTCCAGCACCCACTTCTTCGCTCAAGTTCATCTCATTTTCACAAAACTCAGTTGGGGTATTGTGAAAATGGGGGACCCTCAAGAAACATCCAAAGGGTCTTTTGGGGGTCTCAAATTTCGCCCAAACTTCAAAAAACATTTTCCCAACCGAAAGTCTTTGCCGCTGGAAGGAAGATGTTGGTGAAGAAACAGCAGATGATGATGCCTGCGGCCAAGTAGAGGCACTGCCTTCTTTTGACACTTCATGACGCACTTCTCTCCCCAAGGAATGTAATTGGCGTCAACTTAGGCCCTTCATATCCTTCATTAAGAAAGAATGGATGTGTGGGAGGTTGTCAGCACTTCAATGAATCCACTGTCATAGCCTATGATTCAACTCGTGGTGTTATTCGCGGCATTATTCCACGACATGCACCCCAACATGTCCAGTATCATCTGGTTGGTGGTTTCAACCCATCTGAAGAAGATGTTCGTCAGTTGGAATCAGCATCCCATTTCTCAGCTTGAACATAGAAATTCATTGACCCCAAAAAAATAGTATTCTATTATATATATACATACATACATATATATACATATATATATATATTATCCATATATATATATATTATCCATAAATATGGTATTACGGATATTATGGCATTATTTATAATTTAAATTTACATGGTAATATGACATATTGTACATATCCTATCTCGTGATGGGTCCAAAAATTTAAGCCCTGTAGCGACGCAAAAAAGGCAGGTCCTCGAGGGTGTCGGTCTCTGCCTCAGCTGTGCCTATATGAAGACATGAAACACCTGGGAATGAACACCTTTGCCTATCGTTATATGTAAGTATATGTATGTATGTAAAGTATGTGTATATATATATATACTGTAATTATATATATAATATGTGTATGTATATATACATATATATGGTATATATAATAGTATGTGTATATATATATATATGTGTGTGTGTATCTGTATCTGGATATGTACATGTATATGTACATGTATGCGTTGTAGATTGAGATGGACATGAGACCCTGCTATCCTTCCCTCAACCTGCTAAACATCTACGACGGTCTGATTGGGATCATGAAACTCAGCGCTGGTTTAGTCTCAAACAAAATGGGCTGGCCGGCCGGCCCGTTCAGGGGAAAAAATGGGCAAAGTGACTCTGATCTACAGCCTCTGCGATTCCAGAAAAGTTGTGTTTCATTTCAAAAATGTCAGTTCATCATAGTTCCCCATCCTAAAATCACCCAGGGACGTTCACCAGAAAGTCTGCCGCCAGGTCGGGGGAAACGATCTGATCTTTATCCAACTCGTCAAAGCGCACTTGGAGCTGAGAGGTTCTCTTCCTGGAGATTCACTAGATCTCAATGGCTGGAAACGGCCTGTTTCAGTCTGTTCAAAACACAGATCATCAAAGATCAATCAGCTGAAACTACAGGTTTTATCACGGTTTTTACAGGTTTTACCATGGTTTTACCATGTTTTTTTAAACCATGGTTTTTACACCTTTGATTTCATGGCATTTGAGTTGAACACATTTCAGTTCAAGTCCCAGCCCACTGGAGGTCCTGCAACTCTTCGAGTCCAAACGCTTCTTCTCCTGGTGCCGTGTGGATTGTCATTGCCGCTGTGTACAAAGTTTCAGGCTTCGCTCAAGCAGATCAAATATAGTATGTGTACAAAGTATATTATATATATATACATACATACATTATATATATATATAATATACGTAATTATATGAATATGTAGCAAGATTTAGTGTAGCATGTGGCACCCCTAAATTCGATAACGCCGCAATTTCAGATTTCATTGACAACGCTGTACATGTTGCAGCGCCACTTCCACACTCACCCGAGCCTCCTTCAATGATTTCCGCAACTCATCCAAAGCCTGACGTTCCTTGGCCGCTTAAATTCCAGGCTCAAACATGGGCAAACTGTAACAATATAACAGTAATGGTGCATGCAAAGGTCTTCGGGCTAAATCATTTGAACCAATCTTTTTTGTGTTGGGGTTCGCACAGCTGTTCCACCGGCTCAAAGGAAAGAATGTTCCATGATGGGTGTGTGTGTGTGTGTCTGTGTGTCTGTGTCTGTGTCTGTGTGTGTGCGTGGGGAAACATAGGAAAATTATGATTAACCGCACCAGATTGGGCTGCCCTATTTTCAAACAAACCCATGCCGACCGCAAATGGGAGCGAGCCATGGAACAATTCCTGAAAACACCACCACCAATACCATGATCACCACCACCACAACGACAGGAGGGGCTGTCAAACACCCGGAGCCCTTTCAAATGGTGTTTCCACAGGTTATCGGTTTCTTTCCTCTTATCATTTTCCGAAGCGCTGACTTCACACCTTGATCAAAGAATTTATATTGTGTTTTCTTTGTGAGATGTCAGCTTACAACCACCAGATTTACATGTTTTTTTGACAAAATCTCGTTTCTGCAAAGTTGGAATGATGCCATGGCATGTGCAAGGCATACAGTGTCTTTGCAGGGACCGACATGGAATCTAAAGGTAACTTGCTCGGAATGCGAATTCGCAGCGTGCGAAGCTTTTTCGTGAACTGCCGCTTTTCGGGCCCCTCACCTTCGGTCCTCGCTCTGAAGATATCACCACAGCGATGTATCAAACCATGGAAGAGTTAACGGGGAGCAAAGCACTTAGGATTGCATTGAAAAGTCGCAGTGTATGGTTGGGCTTAGACAAGCTGCGGGTAAACTATACCTGGAATCAGCCCGTTCATGGTTCCTTGGAGAAAGTGGCAGCCAGAGGCCTCAGCAGAAAATGCACGAACAATCCTCCTACCCTACACAATGTGCTCTTTATATCTCTTTATGCGTTACACCAACGACCTGGAACTTACACAGCATCGAGGGTGTGCGGAGCCTCCTATCTGGCTCCTTGAGGGGCCTTACTAGCAGTGTGTTCATGGCTTATTGATAAGCTCCTTGCAGCACTTTCGAAGCACCTTTTTGGTACGATGGTGGATTCCCAAGGTGCCGTCGTCATGTTAGGAAACTCAAACCGAGATGCGCCGTAGCCTTGGCTCCCCATTGGAAATTCCGTAGAGATCCCTTCGCCACTTCCATCCTGGTTCTCTCCAGCAACTTCCATCCAAGGATCCACTCGTAGCTGCGTCTCCCTCTGTTCCAGAGATTGAAACTCAGACCTCGGGGAGCCAAAAGCGGCTAGCGCGACGTTGACTAATGTTGATAAAACAATAATACATCATCCCCAAAATCACCATAAATGAGTGCTATAAACCATCAAAATATGGTTGGTTTATTGTTTTACTAACAATGGCTGCAAGATCCACGAACCATATTTTGATGGTTGTTCAGAACCTGTCTAATAAATCCACTAACATCTTCCACTAACTTGTCAACTATAAACCTGTCGTTGATGTTTTCTGTTGACAGGTCGACCAAAACGAAGATCCACTGCGGCTGCACCAGGTCACTGTAGTTTGGAATCCAACTCTTCAACGAAATGCGTCACGCCCTGGGGGACTGGTCGCTCCCTAACTTTGGACCGGTGAAACTCTCCATTCCCTGAAGGATTGCCAACAGCCAGTGAAACAATCATCCTGAGGATATCCAACAGCTGATTTTGTCCACTGCGGAAGATATTGGAAATGTCTAACTGTAAGGGTGCAGTAGTCTGGAACAAACCCACATAAACAAAGAAAAAACGTCGATCCAAAATGTGCAGATCGTTTTCAGGAGATCCATTGAGGTCCACACATCTGTGTTAGCTTACTGGTAGGCTTTCCCTGGAGTCCCTTATTTTCAACGGGAAATCTGCTTGATAAATTGCTGAGAATGTATTTTTCATCATCAGATTATCAGATTATTGATTATTGCCTTAGAACTGCATATCACCTACAGTGCGACCCTCACATGCTCGTCTTCCAATCCATCTTTGGCCTCTCTGAAGACAGTCACCAAGTTCTCGACAAGATCCTCCCCCTGAGAATCAACAGCGGCATGGCATGGAATGCAATCATCTTTACTAAAAGAAAGAAACTTAGAGAATCATTACTCACATAGTCCTGAGATAGAACTGAAATATATATATACATAATATATACATAGTATATACATAATATATACATAATATATACATAATATATACATAATATATACATAATATATACATAATATACATACATAGTAGCACCATACAATTATAGAATAGAAGATATATGTCGGACTCCCCTAAAAAGGATCCAAGAGGTGGCTCGCCCCAAACATCCCAAACCACCAGTCGTTTCGAAACGTCGTTTCAACGAACGGATACCTTTCTTGGAGGCCCGGGAGGCGAGTCATGCCTTATATTGAGCACAATTTCTTCACATTGTCAATTGCGGTGCTATTATGCATATATATATATATTGTATTACCTAACTATAGTAAATTAAGGCTGTATATATTATATATATATATATTATATATATATATATTATATATATATTATATATATATTATATTATATATATATACAAAAAAAAAAACATACATGTGTACCAGAAATATGACATGAAAAGGCCATCAAAGAACTGGCAATTCCGAATAGGTGCCATCAACAAGACAAGAAAAGCTTCCCCCCGCCTCAGAGATCTGCAGATGGAGCATCCCATGCATCCGCCGACGGCAAAAAAAAACAAGGAGATTTTTTGCATTTTGAAAAAATGCGTCTCATGGCTGGAAATCACAAAGTGCTGGAACTATTTGGAATCTCGGTGTCCATTTGGCATGTCCATTTTGCTGCAAAACTATGCAGTGTTTCTCTTGTCTGTTCCGTGCCACAAATCTTCCTATCGCCCACAAAAAGTCGTTGCTTCTCAAGAATAAGCCGCCGCCGTGCGTCGCGCCTGCGCTATGACATCTTCGCGGCCTTGAAGGAAACAGTGGGAAAACATGGTAGCGCAGAAGGGGGGCCCTTCTTGGGCAGAGGTCAAAGCATCCCTCTTCCATTTTTTTTCTACCATTTACCTATTAGGACCTAATATATCCTAATATGGCTTGGAGCAACCATGCGTTGACTGGATATTTCCCTCTGGCCAGAGTTTCTAGCCAGTCCCCGCTGTCAAAAAAGAAACAAACAGGCTTTCCTACTGGGAGAACCAGCTGTTGTTTTCCATTTCACAGACTTGGATTCAAGGAAAACATGCTGGATCCCCCCACATTTCATGGTAAAAACAATGTTTTACTGTAACATGTTCATAGATTTTCCCTCCAGCTAAGCCAGTGATTGTAGCTTAAATCACCTTACATCGCCATATTTTGCCATGAATTCCCCATGAATTCCGTCGGTTTTCACTAGCCGCCAAGCAGCCGCTGCAGGGTGCATGCAACACAGCCACGGCAACAGCTGCGACACGCCTTGGAGATGAGGGGCCTACTTGGTGACGAACAACCCACGGATCGTTAGTAGGTTATATATATATGTAACTCACGATATATAGATATTATCCTATGGTTAATATCACTATGGTTAATATCACTATGGTTAATATCACTATGGTCAATATCACTTTGGTTAATATCACTATGGTTAATATCACTATGGTTAATATCACTATGGTTAATATCACTATGGTTAATATCACTATGGTTAATATCACTATGGTTAATATCACTATGGTTAATATCACTATGGTCAATATCACTAACTATATATACATATATATATATATAACCCGAGTTATAAGTAGATTAACTGATTAACCCGACTTGTCCCACTTATAATCAGGATTATAAACCTTCTAACCTTCTTAGTAAGTGGGGTGAGCCAACAAGTAGTTGTTGGTTTTTAATCCCATCTAGGTAAATTACACTATGTCACTAGAATTAAGACCATTTCGGGGATGATTCCCCCTGCTCACCATTAGGGCTCGGCCGTCGCTATATAGCCATGACCCCACCTGGTGGGGGATATGAAGATATTCGAGTCTAATGAGAGCTATAGAAATGCTATAGAAATGCTATAGAAATGCTATAGATAGCTTTTGTTAAAATGCTATCGGTGAGCATCTGTTCCAACATGGCTAGCGTTGAGAGTTGGAAGTTGGGCCAGAAATTTGTTTTAAGGTCTTTTCTTTATGAATATGTATGAGTTGTTTATGTTTGTTCAGATGTGATTTCAAACAGCAAAAAAAATACATATGATTTTTACATTATTGTTGTGGTTGGTGATTTGATTTATGATTGTTGTTTTATGTTGTTTGTGTGTGTGTCTTTTAATGATTGTGCTGTGTTTGTTTATGTGTTTTTATGTTTCTATATATGTGTTAATGGTTATATTTAAAAAAGAACATGAATAAAAACTCATTGTGAATTAAAAAAGATGATTAAACAAACAAACAACAACTAAAAATAATCATTAAAGAATAACATAAGGAAAAACATAAACAAACTACGTGTTGGTTCTTTTTTTTCCAACACATAAATTGCATCATACCAAATCATTAACAAATCCAAATACATGGAAAACAATGACAAATCATTTAAATAATATATAAATATACATTTTTTTGGCTGACTTTCAACTCTCAAGGCTAGTGTTGCTGTGAAGTTCCTCTGAGGCAAGAGGCCATCCATAGCGAGAAGCTGAGCGTGGAGAGTTCCAACCACTCGTTGTGATGTCATCATGAAACCTTCCATAAAAGTATGTTTGGCTTACGTAATACATATATAATATACAATTATGTATCGCTATACCCCTCATGGAATGTTCCAATAATATATCTTTATTGGATACTCGACATGAACATATACATTTATATGTACCATCCTATACAGTAGTGTAATGTAGTGTATATATGTATATAATACCAATGCTCATCCATTTCCGTGGGACCCCATGACTTGCGCCAAACGGCTCTGCCCGAGCTGAAGAGCTGGCTGCACTGGGACGACATGTTTAATCATCAAAAATGGTGCTATACAACCAACCATTTCATTGGGATGTCATGTCATGGGATGTCATATATATATAGTCAACTAATGTCAACAAGGGAATACTCCCCCTTTTTAGGGATTTTGATGAGGAGACAGAGGCGTTAAACTTTAAACCATGAAATTTTCGGGATGTCCCAATGGCCCAGCTTGGTTGCCAGAGTTGGGACTAAGAACATGTTCGCAAGCACAGAAAGGGCTCGGACACAGTTCGGTGTCTCCAAGTTCAGGAAGCAGCATTTTTATGTCTTCATTCCCATGTTGGATATCGGGCAGTTGGTACCTTCTGGTGACTTCAGCGCGCAATTGAAAATCACCAATTCAGATGGGTAAACAGGTAATAAAATCATCCACAAATGGCAGATTTTCCAGTGCCAGGTTCCCCAAATGCTCGTTCATAAATCAGTCATATTTTGTTGGGTGTCCCTAAGTCTTGACACACTGCCTCTTTGCACATCGATTCTTTGTCCGCCGCAGTCTTTACGGCGTCTGTCAGCCTCAACTCTCCCTGGATCTGTTTGTACATCACCTACGAGCTCCCTGACTCAGGCAGTGGCGAGGAAGACCTCAAAGAAGGCCACCCCGGCCACCTGGCGGGAAGATTCGTGAACATCGGAGGTTTGGGGGTGCCGTTGGTAACGGGGGTTCTCCCTGTGTCGTGGGTCATAATAGTAATAGATATATGAAAAGCAATATACCCTAAACATCCCTAAACATTAATCATATATACCCTAAACATTGATGAGCATCCCAATATTCATAATCCCTTCCCCCGTTCACATCAAACACCCCCTAGAAACCATGGTGGATGTAGGGGATGAAACCACATATTTGCGACCATAGAATGGGGGTGTTGAATATGAACGGGGCATGGGATTTATGTGGAATTTTACATATACCCTAACCCCCCTTGACATTCAGAATTCCCTCTGCCATGATAGGTTCAAAAAGGTTTCGGTTTCACCGTCACGGTCCATGGTTTCCCATCATGAGAAAACCCCAAGTTCTGATCCAAGTCCTTTTTCCTTTTGTTCATCCGGAAATTCATGGCAAAGTTTGGTAAGCCAACTTTAAGAAACCCCCACATGCCATCACATGCCTATGAAGGTATCGCAAATACAAGAATATTCCTACTAAATTGGATGTTTTAGTCGTATTTATCCTAGATTAAGTATGAGAGTGTGACATGCTTGATACACCGGGAAGCTAAACGATCCTCTGTTGACCCATAAAATGTAAGGTCAACTGGGTACATGTGTCATGTTTATAGTAATGTGGTAAACCCAATACTGCACCTACCATTTGGGGATGCTAAAGAAAAACCACCCATTTCTGGTGAATCCCCCACGTTCAGACGTCAATATCCATGGCTGGAGATTGCTTCATCTTCCATTAAAAAATCATGGCTTCATCATGAGTTTCCCCATGTTTGATAGGTAAATCCCCAAATTTTACACCAGAAAAGCGTGAAAAAATCCGTGGTCACAACTTACCAAGCCACAACTGCAGCAAAGAGAAAGGCTGCGAAGGTCACAACCGCCAGCAACCAGTACTCGATGGTTTTGGCCTCGCGTGCTGAGCGGTCACTGAAAGTGGAATACTGGGATGAAATTCCATCATTTTTAGGGGATTAGCGATGTTACTGGGATAATTTTTCGGGAAAATCAATTGGATAGTAGGGATAATAGGGATTTAACCATCATTTATATATATTTATATGGGTTTTATGGATATGATAATGGGATGATTGGTTTAACCAACAACAATGATATTTTGCTGGAGATATACAGTAATTGGATAATGGGATAATTAATACTGGATACAATAGTGATATAACCACCAATATAGTAGGATAATTCTGGATACTGTAACTCAACCACAACTGGGATATAATGGGGATATCAATGGTATAATGGAAATCAAAACGTGGCTGGAAAATCCCCGAACTAAATGGATCTTTACAGCTGGGATTTTCTCATCTATAAATGGGAGATGTGAAACATTCCCATGTTTGATTACCACGGCTTCCGATTAAAAATGTGAAATGCCGCAGTCAAATTCACGGATTATTTGGTCACCCGTTATTTGGGAAATCACATTTCATATCCATAGTATAAATGGAATTGTCCAAGGTATAGTCCATATAAGAATTGTTTCCAGTGAAAATTCCATGTTGCAACCAGGGTTGCTGTTGCTCCAACCATCTATTTTTCCGTCAATGACAGCCACGACTTGGAGGGGAAACCATACGTGGATCTTGTTCCATGGCCAACTAGGGTGAGGATATAGAAATGTGTACGGTATACGTGTATGTATATATATATAGATATAGATATTGCGTATAAATTGTATTTGGACAATTATAATTTATACATATATATATATAATTACACATCAAATGATATAATATATTGTATATAATTGTATCGTATCGTATGGTATTGCCCTATGGAAGTTTTGGTTGATGAAATGCTGGTGAAAATTTTATCCCATTGGAAGCAACGAAAATCTCCTGCCGTGCCGTTCACGAGTTGAGGACATCAACATGTCAACATATGGCTACTCATCTTTCAATAGATTGAGGGTTGATCCCCCAACTGCTTGACAGACCACAGTGAACTTCCGCCTGCCAAGACCTTTGTAGGGCTTCAGAGTCCTGTTTCGGCCACCAAATCAGTGGGGGTCAGATGGGCAACAATCGATCAATGGGGCTATATATATATATATATATCCATAGAAATCGTGTTCAACAACTAATATCAAAGTGGGAATCTAGGAATTGACAATGATATATAATATCACATTATATAATCAACTTGATATGATACATGGGTGTGTCTGAAAATGGTGGATATCCCAAATTCATGGCAGTTTTATATATTCGGGAAAATAATGATTTGCCCTGGATTTGGGGGTACTGGGGTACCCGGGGCGGCCCGAGGAAAAGGTGGCCTCAGAATTCAGGTGGCTCAACACAGAATTGGAAGAACATGTACCTTTTCTGAAAGTGGACCCCCAAACTTCTCAGAGTCAAACGTATCCTAAAAGTGGCCTCTCTCAATGTTAGCAAAGTCTTAGCAGTCTTAGCATGGTTCTTTAGATATTAAAATGCATCCCAGCATCATGAATGGCATTCCTTACAATTATGGGATTCCTTAACCACTTTTCAACAAAGGAGGGCCATCCCCTTGGAAATTTCAGCCCAGTCCCTACGTCGCGTTTCGCTGCTTCCTCCACCCAAAAGAAGAAGAGTGGCAAAGCGGTTTTGATTCCAAAGGTCGCCTGCAGCCGTTGCGGCCACTGCAGTCGCAAAAACAAGCAGAGAATAATGAACTCTTGATCCATCAGAATTAAGCACTGAAATTCGACCAAAATTGTTTGATGGCTGCTACAGACCCCACATACATTTAGGGACAGATTGGATGAATAAAGAGGTAAAAATCACCTATTCCCCTTCCCCCTTGTGGCTACCATTTGCCTACAGTAGGCTGCACCTCGGCTTCGTTCACTGCTAGGGTGTAGAACTCTCGTTGCTCCTGTTGAGAGCATAGACCAGGGGGAATCCTGAACAAAAAACAAACATGTTGGGGTTGTCTGATTTGTTTATCAGGAAACCTCATGCATCATCTAGATTTTGGATGGATTTTAGATGGTCTTGAATGGCCAATCAATTATCCATTTAGATGGTTGTGATGGCCCATGACTCATCCATAATCATCCACTTAATTAGATTCTTCATAACTTCATAAGTGGTTTTGTTAGATCTTCCCTACTTCTTGATGGCTATCTGGGTATCCACCACTTGAATGGACAAACGCTGGCTGGGATGGCTACCAAGCTGTTCAGTTTCATACGGGTTCTGAGAGAATTTAAGGCGATTTCCCGGAAGGCCTCTTGCGGAAGCTTTCGAAAAAATGGATATGTTACTTCATCATCACAATCATCATCATACATTTCGATTTCATCATCACAATCATATACAGTTTTGGTTTCACGATTTTTGTTGCTAGTTTCACCCCATGTTTCACCTGAAAAATATGTTTAATCGTCATTGGGGGATCATCTTCCCAAGTAAAAAAAAAACGGCACTCAATAATATACATATTTTCGACACACACTAGTTTGAGTCTACTTAAATTATATTAGCGCTCGCATTTTAGAGACTGGAAATACCAAATAGAGCACCAAAATCCTGTCAACTGGTTCTACTGCCTTGTTGCCATTCCAGTCCGTTGGCAGATATTGGTAGTTTGATCCCTTTTCAGTGGATTAGTAGAACCCAAATATCCCAAATTTTCACAATAAACCAATGAGATTTTGACATTGCTCAATATCTGAAACCATTTTGGAGCGTCCAAAATGACCTCGTTCAGAAGTCGCACGCCACTACGCCTAGGCCACAGAAGGAAGGATGCCCACAACGCGGGTCGTACGGATGGGGGAAATCATCGATTTCTGTGAGTTGACGTTATGGTGATAAAGTCTGGTGTTAAGCCAACATGGATCATCCAGTTTAAACCAAAAAAATGCGTCTAACGAGACTTGTAAAATCAATGTCTGGCGATGAAGATCTCGATGTTTCATAACACGTGTTGATGTTCAGCCTGAAACTTGCCCATGTGTTGTATTTTTTGAACTTCCAATCAAGAACACTTGCAAAAGAAGTCCAGGGGTACAATCATGACCCTGAGGTTGACTTCAGAGGTTGTCGCAGAAACCATGTTTTTGTTACCACTGAAAGTCCGTTTTTAACATTTCTTAACCCTATACCGCACGTGGCTAAACAACTTCCGAACAGCCATCAATCCTCGGAAAAGTCACAGAGTTCAATGTCCGACAGAAAGAAAAACAGAAAGTCAACCCTTATGGGTTTTACCTCTCACAAAATATCTTCAGCCAGGGCAAACTAGGTTTCATCCCAAACAGGCCCTCCATTCTTCAATCCGAAAAGGGCCAAGTTGCGCATTGGGCTTCTTATATTCGCCGCAGCGAAAGCCATTCTCGTCACTGTGGCAGGGGCACCGTGAACCCCCGGGGAATTCCGTATCTGAAGTTGGACATAGGGGGCACATTGGCATTGGGATTATAACATGTACATACATATAGTTTATGTATACATATACAATTTTATGTATATATATATAATTATATATATTTGTATGCGAATAGTCTACAGCAAATGCCGGGAGCATGTGGTCTCAACAGCTGCGCAATCATTATTCCCTGTCCATTGTTTTTGAGTTTCCGAAACAAATACCTTGAACCCCTAAACCCCCAAAACGACCGAAAAATCCTAGAACCCTCAACCTGAAACCCTAACAGCCCTAACACCTCAAACTTTGCAACTTCTCTGAACTATATTGACCCTGCGCAAGATCCTCAATTGCAATGCTGGGTCAAAGTCCGGGTATTTTGTATGTATATATAAATATGTATATGTATATATATATGTGTATATTCTAAAGCATACATATGATTCTAAAAAACATTATATAAATCTATATATTATACTAATTTATATCATATTAAAAAATATATAATATATAATATATCATATTGAATATATAATGTATGATACAAGGTATAATATATATATAATACATATTTATATATATATCATATAATATATTAAATGTAACATATATAATATATAATTTACAAATATATATATATATACGGTGTTATATATATATCATATCATATTTTATCTATTACATTACATATTGTGTAATATATAATATTATATTATATATATATAATTATAGTTAATAGTTTATTACATTATATCATATGATTTTGTATTGTACTAATACTGTACTGTATTATATTAAAATCATACAAGGCTATATCAATCATATCATATGATATGATTTGATATCATACATTTTGCATTTTTGCAAAAATATGTATTATATTACAATATGTTAGTACTATTATATTATCTCATATTATATTTTTCTATATTATATTACATTAATCTACATTAGATATTTATCGAATAGTATATATATATTATCTTATTTTTTGTTATATTATCTCATTTTATAAATTTATATATTTTATATTAAATACTATAAATTAAATACTATTATATGAAATATATTCAATATTAAATATTGAATATTGAATATTATATACAATATGTATATATATATGATATTACATATTATACATTATAGATTACATTTTTAATATTTTATATTGTATATAAAATATTACACATGTTATTATATTATATTACAGTATGTTATTTTTTTATATGATATGAAATTAAATGATATTAGATTGTATTATATTAAATATCAAATTTTATACATATTATATTTCATATAGAAATGTTATTTCCATATATTGTATCATAGTAAGATATATTATGTTATATTACAATACATGATATTATATTTTATTACATGATATTCGTTATATTATATTTTACTTTATCAAATTAAGTTATGTTTATATCATATAAGTATATATATACATTATATCACATATATTCAATTCTATACATATATGTATATATATATATTCTAAAACATATGCTGCATAATATTCTAAATTATTTTCTGTGATTATATTCTATTATATTCTACTATATTCTATTATATTCTATTATATTCTATTATATTCTATGAAATTCTATTATAGTCTATTATATTTTACATTTTTCTTATTATATCATACTATATTATATTTTATTATATTAAATATTATATGATATGATAGGATATTATATCATACTATTTTGAATCATGTTATACTATATTATATTAAAAGAATTATATTATATTATATTAATTTTTACTAAACTATATTATTTAGATATTGATATTACATCATTTATATTACATACATCTGCACTGATGGATACACCACAGTTTGAACCCTCTGCTTTTGCTCTTCACCTTGAAGTTTAACTGCTGAAACGCTCGGACGCGCACCAGCAATTCAATCCGACTGCCCAATAGTCGTAGGTCGCAGGTGCCTCGAATGTTGAGTGGAGTTTAAGTTCACCAAAAACAAAAAGAACTATATACTCGAATCAACTCTACCTCTTTCTGGATAGTTTGGGTTCAGACCCGCTTTTCCATGGCTGAAACTGCGAGTACCAGGACACTGTCGGCACAGCAACGCACATTTTCATCATGGCTTGTGACGGATCCCTTCCATCGCCTTGGAGGCGTTGTTCACAATGGGTGCCACGCAGTACACCTCTTTGTTCTTGAAACCTGACCATATCCAGGGCGGGAAAAAACCGCTGAACTTCCCAGGACCAGTGGTACAAACGATGATTGCAGCGGCGCGCGCCTATGGATTTTGCAAGGTCCAACGTGGTGCTGTTCGAAAACTCCACCCCTTGGCGACAGAGATTAGAAGCGGTGGGCGGTGGCTCACTGGACCTAAACGGAATCTTATAGATTTCAATCCCAGGTTTCGGTGGTTCCACCGACTTGTTTAATCTTGTTCATGTGGGAGATGTCGCATCAGGCATTCCTTGAATTTCTTAGGAGCCGTTTCGGAAAATGCCACAGAAACGGACGGATCCTAGGGATAACTCCGGATCAAAATCACAAAGAAAAAACATCTGGAAATGATGAACTAGACCATTAGCGCAAATCACCATATTAGGGAAGGTCTAAATCATTGTGGCTCAAACTGATAGTTTACTTGAAAAGTGTGTTATAATTATCTATCAGCCTATCCTAGTTTGTTTTATTGTCTATCAGTTTTTTCTCAACCAGAAAAACTATTTCTATCACCATGCCATGCACTTGCCATCCAAGATAAGATGGGTATGGGTCAAAACCCTGTCGCCCTGGCAAACATCAAACTAGCTGTGAGTTATGGATGCTTAGCCTCCAAAATGTGTGGAAAAAACACCGGTAACTTGAACCATATTCAAGTTTGTCTGGTTGGGATATATTCCATTATACAAACCTGTTTCTTCTATATATACCCCTACATCCACATGTGATATGCTAAAAAAGACTGACAGCTGATGCGTTTTTCGAGAAAAAAGTAAATATCACCATTAATATCCTTTAAAAAATCCCGGCGAGCGACCCCAAACAGTGTGGGGGCAGTGGGTGGGTGGATAATGTATGATGATGATGATGATGGTGATGATGATGATGATGATGATGGTGATGGTGATGGTGATGATGATGAAGATGAAAACGGTGGTGATGATGATGATGATAAACATGATAATGGTGATGATAAAAAATGATAATGGTGATGATGATGGTGACGAGGAGGAGGAGGAGGAGGAGGATGAGGTTGGTGAAGATGATTATGATGACGATGATGGTGATGAGAGTGATAACTCGGAAGATGAAGTGGAGGATGAACAAGGAGGAGGAGGATGATATTGAGGAGGAGAAATCATGCTGAGGAGGAGAAAGGTGTCGAGGAGGAGAAATGACGATGATGATGATGATGACGACGACGATGATGATGATGGTGATGAAAATGATGATGATGATGATGATGATGAAGCCACGGCCCAGAAACTAGGACCACACTTTGTGCAAGCCGGCGCAGTCGAAATGCACGTCAACATTTCACAAGAGCCACTTTTTACGGAAATTTGCAGGTGAAATGCCGCAGACCAGAAGCTAGGACCATACTTTGCGCCAGCCTGCGGAGCCGAAATGCAGGTCAACATGTCAAAAGGGCCACTTTTTACAGAAATTTATGGGACAAATGCCGTTCCCCAGAACCGCGGCCCACACTTTGTGCGAGCCTGCAAAGTCGAAATGCAGGATATCTAGGATAAACCATGGTTAACCTAGACCTAGTTATAAACCATAACCATTTGGGGATACCCTCGTTTTAGGAAACCCCCAAAAAAAGCAACAGGTAACAACTGATTCACAGCTGAGGCACGTCCAACATCCAGATATCTGGAACTCGAGTCTACCGCTGGATCCACATTGCTGGCGATGGCGAGACGTTTCAAGGTGTCAGACCTAAGGGTAACAGCAAGGGGGTACCGGTTTAATGGCTTCATAATGGCTTTGATTCGTGGTTCAATCATTTTTTTATATGACTTTGCATGCTTGTTCATTACTTTTCATGAGTTTTCATGACGTTTCATGACTTTTTGATTATTTTTGGTGTTTTACCAGAGATACTGTTGGACTGTTGGAAGAAGCTTGCCATTGTTTTGGAACAAATCTGTCTTTCCAGGTCTCAAAATGGTCCTTTTTTTTCGGTAAACGCAGATGTTGAGCAAAAAACGCAGTGCACTGAGTCTAACAGCTGAAGTCTGCGCTTGGGTGCCCTGCGCTATCTCGTTTTTCATGTAGTTCCTCGATCCGATCAACTTCAAGGGCCATCTGAACACAACACAAGGCACAGTGATGTGACAACCAATAGCAGGGAAGTGTTTGCCACCCACAGTAAATAGAACATCATGATGATGATGATGATGATTATGATGATGGTGATGGTGATGGTGATGATGATAAAGATGAAAATGCTGATGATGATGATGATGGTGGTGGTGGTGGTGATGGTGATGATGAAGATGAAAATGGTGATGATGAAGATGAAAATGGTGATGATGATGATGATGATGATGATGGTGGTGGTGGTGGTGATGGTGATGGTGATGGTGATGATGATGAAGATGAAGATGAAAATGGTGATGATGATGATGATGGTGATACTATACATATATATATATACATATATACATATATACATATATATATATATGTGTATATATATATGTATGTATATATATATATATAGTTATATATATGTGTATATATATATGTATACATCGTTTGTCATTATCGTTGTTGCTGGTTGTGCTATTGTCATGATCATTGTCTGTCGTTGTTTATCATGATTTGATCGATAGCTTTGAAGTCCTGCGAGTCAGGTAGACTCTATCTTTCTATCAAACATTAAAAATGCCAAAAAAAAATACAAGAAAAATAGAACCCGAAAATGCAACAACTTTGTCAAGTTTGACGTCTCTAACTTTGAAATTGTCCGAAAGAAAGGGAGACATGCAGTGAGCCAGGCAGTTCCTGAGCGATGTGTCTTCTGGCACCAAGACTAGTCGCTGTGCCGCCTTCTATAAGCAACATACCCTGCCGTGAGAACTCCAAGCAACACCACAAAGCTAGTTGTAGCAAATCCGGAAAATCTAAAAATGCAACGGAAAATGCAAATGCCAAAAATAACGGAACAGAAAGTGCAAAAAAAAGCAACTTCCAACGTTGCATTTTCTCCGTTGCATTTTTTCTTGCAACTTGCGACGTTGCATTTTCTCCGTTGCATTTTTTTGCAACTTTGATCAACTTTTGTATTGTTTTACGAAAAAAAAACGAAAAAATGCAAAAAAACATGGAACGGCACCAAAACAAATGCAACAGAAAATGCAAAAAAAATGCAATTTCCAACGTTGCATTTTCTGAGTTGCATTTTTTTTGCAACTTGCGACGTCGCATTTTCTTAGCTGATTTTTTTCCTTTTCGAAACTTGCGACATTGCATTTTCTAATTTGCTTGTATTTGGAAAGCTCCTCCAACAAGCAACACATTCAGGGGCTGGCAAACTGAGAAAAATCTCACTCCCAAAAAAATGCGGTGACAAGACATGGCCTTGAGCCAGCACCACGTATCTTCCACTCATCCGGGCAGGGAAAAAAAGAAACTCCACGGTTGCACTTTTCTAGTTGTTTTTTAAATACAATTGTATTTTGATGTTGTATTTTGTTCATATTTTTATTGTATTTTCAATTCCTGTCAAGTCACATAGTCTGTACCTGGTGCCACGACTTCAACGATAGCTGTCACTACTCAACATTATTCATCATTGTCTAGCACTATCAATATTGTATCATCATTATCTGTATTTATCATTATTTATCTGTGATTGTTCTCGTGGCGATTACGAATCATTAACCGTTATGATCATTGTTGTAATTATTGCTCTTATAATGAATGAGTTGTTGCTGTTAAGTACTGGATATTATTGTCATTATGTATCACTACTACTATTATTTGCAGATCACACATCAATCTCACTAGTTAAAAATGTATTTAGCGAATATATGCGAATATCATAGAGATTAGTAGTAGCATTAATTAGAAGATTGTTCGCATAATTACATCTATATACATATATATATATATATCTTTACATGTTATACTATGCACATATATATATATATGATATGTAGTCAACATATAATACAAACCTGTATAGAAAATTATATAAATATATAAGTATTATATAAGTGTATAATACATATATATATATATGTGCAACTATATTCTCCGTGTTTATCCATAATGACCAACCATCAGAGGCTCTTCCACACTTCAGTGGAGCCCCAAAAAAAGTTCCAAGCATCAGATGGGCGAACCACACTGAAGCCACTAAGGACGATGTCAAGGAGACACCCTGCGCTTGCGAGGTGAAGGACAAGTTGGTTTCATCTTGGATTGGATATTGACATATTGACACCACTCTTGACCGTCCGCCTGAAAAAACATGGTGATCAAACTTTGAAACCATGATAAACCTATTGACCTATGCCTGAAAAAGCATGGTGAATAATGGTGATCACAGTTCTTCGAACATCCGATTGTCCAAGTCAGCTTGAAAAAAATACAAGCCGGCAATTGATCTGGTTCCGGACAGCGACTTGGACGGATTTCTATGGATTTGCACCGACCTTCATCTGGCGTGAAAAATCTCAGTCCCAGACCAGAAAAGCGTACCAAAAAGGAAAGACCTTCCTCGGCCAATGTCACAGGAAGTGGAGGAAACCCTTAGTCTTTATATGTCTACCCAAATCGCTGTTCGAATTTCCGGCAAAACAAACCGCAAACCTTTCAGGTCACTCAGCAGTTTTTGCACAGTATCTTTCCTGAAATCTGACTATGCCAACACATCTCCCAAAAATTAACGTGGCAAACCTAATGTATCGTAAACTCCTCTTTGGATCTCTTTGGTGTGTTTGGTTTCAATACTCCCCAAATTGCAAACTGGGTCAATGGCTATGATATGCTTTATTGGCATTGCGCTTTGCCACATTGCGGATCATCCGAAGCGATCTCCTCTGGAAGAGCTGGGGCCAACACGATCGTCCAGAAAAGTACCTCGGACAATCCTCCACCGTCCAGTGGGCTCAAAAGATCCGGTTTCCCCACAAACATCAGCTCCCAAAATCCAACCACCGAAAAAAAAACACAGGAAATGCGAATCTGTTGTCATACGTGGGTCAACCGTCAACCTACGTTGAAGTCTCGAAGATTCAAATTCTGGGGAAGCAGACAATCAAGGGGCACTGCCGCACCCACGCTCACTTTTCAGAGAATCAGCGTTGAAATTGGTTGCTGATTGAGTCACCAAAGAAAATATCATCACACGTACCACCAGGATGGCAGTTTTAATGGCGAAAAATGGTGATGAACATTGATAAACCATCAAGCTTAGGGGGTTTTTGCCCTCAATTTCAGACAAGTCCATTTCAAAAGTCGTTGAAACCACCAACCAATTTTAAGGATTGAGCTTTCCACCATGTACCAGGTCCGCTGAGCAACTTCCGCAGGTCAGGGACTCAAGGCTTCTATGATCGAAGGCCATCAAAGGCGACGAATCCGCCGCTTTGAGGTCAGAGTTTGGTCCACGCAAATGCGATTTGAGCATCTTGATCTGGCGAAGAGCTTCCCATTTTTCGAAAAAACCAACAGCGAAGTCAGACACCCTAAAAAAGTTGCTGATCAAACTGCGGTAAGACTTTTTGTTTCATGAAAAAAAATGGGTGACATAGCTCTCTCTCTCTTGGCCAATTTGCCAAGTCTAATTTGCCCAGTTATAGATAGATATAGATACATATAGATACGCACAACTAGCAGCGCTAGCGAAAAATACTAAAGCCGGCTGCAGCACATGGGGCTGCGCTTCATGATGCTGGATGGAAGTCCTTTGATGTTTGAAACAAGTCCTTTTGGGAAAAACAAATCGGGATTCAAAAAAACACAACTCTCGGAACACTGATTGTGAAAATTGATGTTCATCAACCAGTAGAAGAAAAGACATCCATTCAGCTAACTTTGCATCAATTATTCAAACCGCCGGCGGCGCCAGACATTCCCATACAAGCTGTCGCTCTGCGTACCATGTCTGTGTCGCGATCAGATGGCTCAAGATTCTGTTGGTTCAGCGGAAATCTTCTGACAGTGCACTCTGCAAATAAGAAAAAAACACTAAACCCATGAACCTTAAGCCGATGGGGCACAGCCCTTCAGACTAAACAATTCCAAGGTCGCAAGTCCTGCAAAGGCCGTGGAGAGAGATGTGAGGCAGCCTTCGCAACAACGGTTGCCTTCGGCTGGGTGTCGCAGCTGTCCGCACTAAAACCCTCCCTGTAGCGGCGCGGCAAGGCTTCGGGCGAAGTGCCAGAGGTTCCACACCTTCGATGTGGCCATGAAAATATGAAAATGGCTGAGCCGCGCTGCTGAATATACGACAGGAATTCTAAGAATATGTGAATTTCAAAAAAAAGGGTTCGTATCTGACATATGCTCTGACATCTATAATACGGACATTCTATCTGACATATATACATATGTATATATATGTATATATATATATTTTTATATGTATACATATTTTGGCATTTGATCTGACACATATTTTGACAAATATTCTGACATATTTTGTGACATTCTGCCTGACATTTTATCTGGGACTATGTGCCATTCTGTCATCTATCTAGCAGCCTATCTGACCAATATTCTGAATAATATTCTGAAGTATATTCTGACATGACTTCTTGCATTCTTTCTGACATATAGACATATGTTCCGGAAGGTTTTCTGCGATATATCAATATCTTGATATTCCGCAGTGCCGATATTCTATTCCTATCTGACATACATTCTGACATATAATCTGAGATTCTATCGGGCATATGTTCTGACATTTATTCTCGTTTCTATGC